ATCAGAGCCGATTAAATAATTATCTGACATGCTTCTTTAGTTCAGTGTTTATATCTGAACCTGCCTCTGACCGGGATGCTCCAGTGAAGCTTTTTTTTGAATGAAACTACGAGCTGGAAAAAAGTATCGACCGAGTAGCTAACTTTAGGATCGATTCTCTCCACGATCCAGGCTGGACCATTATTGTCAAACTATCTACGTGGAAAATGAAAAGTAAAAAGATGAAGCAACTGGACTTGTGTTTTGGAGCTGCAAACACACGGAGCTGCAGATTTAAACAGCAAGACTTGAGGTTAGTGTCTTATCGATCCTTCAGCCCCAGCTCACTGATGAAAAGGTCAGATGGAATGTGACATGAGCGTTCACACTGCAGTCACTTTGAAAACATCAGATATGTATCCGATTTAAAACCACATACTGAAACGGCCTGGGTCGAATTTGAAAAAATCGAATTTGTCTCGTTCAGACTGTCATAAAAAATCGGAAATGAGTCAGATGGGTCAAAAAAATCGGATTTGGGTCGGATTTGCCTGCAGTGTGAACGTAGCCTATGTCTCTCGGCTGGCCTGGGAACACCTTGGAGTTCCCCCGGAGGAGCTGGAAGAAGTGGCTGGGGAGAGGGAGGTCTGGGCCTCCCTTCTGAAGCTGCTGCCCCCGCGACCCGACCCCGGATAGGCGGAAGAAGATGGATGGATGGATGGATGGAGAAAAGGTTTTATGGGAGTTGACGAAAGCTCCATTCATTTTCAAAGAGAAAAACAATGACAGAAACAGCTGAACATCTCAAAAACCAGAAGTTGCTGAAGTACCAAAAGTCATAGATGGAATGTCCTGAAGGAGCTGAACATTTTCATATACGAACTGTTAAAATAGCACAAAATTATGAAAAGAGTTACACACTGAAAAACTAATCTGGATTGTGTGAATTCTTGATAAGCTTTCACACAATAATGGTTTAACAGGACTCACATCGACTGCTGGCTTGCAAGCTTTCCTTATTTTGAGGAAGTTTGCTGTACAAAAGAAATTAACATATAGAAGTGATGTGAACTATTTGCCACAAAGGAAAAATTATGGAAACGAGTGAAAATTAGAAACTTTAAAACAGCGTTTCTTAAACTTTTCGGCGTTTGACCTACAAAATAAAAGTTGCAGAGCCCCCCGACCCCCATTATTACTAGCTGAAACATAAGAAGTCGTTTAACAATCACATCAACCATTATTTAATTTATTATTTAATTCATCCACTGATGACTGTTCTTATCTTTTGAAAAMAGCTGGAGCTAAAAATGTTATTGAAAATCATTGCAAGTTAATTTAATTTCTGTAGACCCACTTAGAGGGTCCTTTTCTAGGGTCTCAACCCCAAATTTGAGAACTACTGCAATAAAACACCTTGTGGTCTTTTTTATGTAAGCAAACCTTTTGYTAGAACTGCACTGGAGAAAATGTCAAATAGAACATCACTCACATGTTTTAGGACTGTCCAATCATAAAAAAATTTGCAAAAATGTAAAGAAAATTAGTAGAAATGTACTAAAATGAACCATTACCCTAGATCCAATGCTCTTTTCTGTTCTGAGTTACCAAGGGGATACACAACCCAAACTAATGATTTACTGTATTTTACACGAACTTTAATTGAACTGCATATRCTAAACTCGACATGCACAGGTCAGTGAACACAGGGATTGAATGACTGCAAGTTTACAACTAAAAGRTTAATATTTCTATACAGAGATGGGACATTAAAATGGCAACACTTGTTCACACAAATAACTAATCAATCACGTGGCAACAACTCAATGCATTTAGGCCTGTAGGCCTGGTGAAGACAAGTTTGAACAGAGTATAAGCAGAAGGAAAAAGAGGGGATTTAGAAGACTTTGAACACAACTTTGTTGGCCTGCGTGTTTAAGAATCTGATGATCTGGTAATTTTACACACAACTGATTTCAGATTATAAAAAGGCAGCAGCAGCTCTAATAAACATTTGTTGCAAACAAAGGTTTGCAGAATACCATTTCTAATTGAACACGCAACAGATGAGCTACAACAGGAGGAGGACCACACCAGCTGCTGTTAGCCAAGACCAGGAAACTGAAGCTATAGAGTTCACACTCACCAAGACCAGACAAAGAATTGGTAAAACAGTGTTGTTTTTGCCTGCCATTTTAATTTTAGTCTTAGTCTTTTGAACAAAAA